GGATACTTTTTCTTCCATTCTTGTGATACTTTGCTAAGAAGAACATTTTCCAGCTCCATCCATGTGAACATGAAGGACGTAAAGTCTCCATCCTTGAAGCAGTTTTGACCTCTCTGTCCCACTTTGCCCTGTCTAGCTGGTCATTCTTGACTTAAAGGACCATCTATGATTTCCTGACCATGCGCTGTCTTTGTCATAGTCCTCTGGGAAGAGCAGCTTCTGACCATGTCACTCATTTGCCTCAAACCCTGTGGATTCTCATGTGCATACCTCACATTCCTAGTTAAAAGCACACGGCCTTCTATAACTTTTCACTACTGATCTCTGTTGCTTGTCTGTTATTCTATACTCTTCTTGTACTTTTCTTTCTCAGAGTACTAAGCTGTACAAGTTCTCCCTGTCTGGACCAGCCCCTGTTGTCTATTTGATGAACTTTTGTTTTTTTGAGACAGTGTCTCCCTGTGTTGCCTGAGCTAGCGATGAGCCATAGCTCATAGTAACCCTAAACTCCTGGGCTCACGTAATCCTCCTGCCTCAGCCTCCTGAGTAGCTGGGACTATGAACACGTGCCACCATACTCAGCCTGTCTGATGAACACTTATCCATCTTTAAAACCCTTTTCAAGGATGCCTTTCTCGTCTGTGAGGAATTTGATAATAATTACTAGAATCTAAATAATAGCCATCATTTATGAAGTGCTATTCATAAGTGTGGGCCTGTGTTGGGGTTGCAGGAAGTCAGTAGACAATACTATTTCCTGCTCACATTTGGAACCAATTGTGAGAACGGCATAGAGCAGTCAAAGTTGGAGATCAAACTATCAGCTTTTTACTGATGGAGGCTAAGTTGGAGGACAGAGTCAATTATGAGCCCAAGTAGTTCTGGTCTAAACTTACCCCCAAAACTCTAGGCCTCCCACAGGAAAACCCTTACTGTATGTTAGAATGCCCGAGAGGAAGGTGCCAAGTCACACATGTGCTTTCCTTTTTCCCAGACTCACTAATTGGTTAGGTGACCCCTTGTCCCCTAGAAAGCAGTGAGTAGAAGGAAGGTCAGGGAGAAAGGCAGGAATGTTACAATAATGGCAATTCTGTTACATGGTAACATGAAAAGTGGAGAGTGTCTTCCTAGGCACTGGGTGAAATGTCCTACACAGATAATCTGTCATCAGTGAGAGAGCAGAATAGACAATCTGTGTAGGACCCTTAGCTTGGTGCCTCCTGTTTTCCTTCCTGCAGGAATAAAGTGGGCAGTGTGTCTGCATGTGCTACAGCCTAGGGTCTCTGCTCCTCTCAGCCCCTGTGTGCCACTTGCTCTTCAGCTTTGCCCCTTGATCACAGATACCTAATTTGTTGATTTGCAATTTAAGTGCTGGTTTTTGCAGAAAATGGTCAAGTTCTATCATGTGGATCCAACTCCTTTGGCCAGTTGGGAGTTCCTCATGGACCTCGAAGATGTGTGGTGCCCCAGGCCATTGAGGTGAGGACAGTTCTGTTAAAGTGTCCCCAGAAGAAAAGGCTAACTGGGTCTCTGAAAACTCAGGAGGTGGAATAATTTGAGTTGAAAATTAGGTCCTTCTGGGAACACAAGATTGAGAGGATGGATGTGGTAAGTGAAAAACCTCTGTTAGTTCTCATGCACATTATAAAGTGAAATGCACCAATAAAGGCAATACATCTCATAAGGACATTAATGATATTTTAAAGTTCTAAATTAGTATTAGTGGGAACTATGGTAAAAATAGGTCACGTAGAAGTGACTTGCTGAAAGGTACTTAGCTAGGCAAATGGTATAAGCTAGTGTTGTCTAAAAGAAATATTATGTGAAGCCAGGGATGATGGCTCATACCTGTAATCTTAGCACCCTGGGAGGCTGAGGCATGAGGATCACTTGAGCTCAGTTAGGAGTTTGGGACCAGCCTGAGCAAGAGTGAGACCCCATCTCTACTAAAAATAGAAAGATTAGCTGAGTATCATGGTGGATACTTATAGTCCCAGCTACTTGGGCAGGTGGAGAGGTTGAGGCAGGAGGATCACTAGAACCCAGGAGTTTGAGGTTGCTGTGAGCTGGCCTAACTCCACAGCACTCTAGCCTGGGCAACAGAGTGAGACTCTGTCTCAAAAAAAGAAAATAAAAGAAAAGAAAAGAAATATAATGTCAGCCACATGTAATTTAAAAATTTCTGATACCCTCATGTAAAAAAGGACAGATGAAATTAATTTTTTAAATAATGGACTTTATTGAGATATATATAATCAATCTACCATAAAATTCATTCCTTTAAAATATATCATTTAATGGCTTTTAGTATATTCAAAGATAAACAGCCATCACCACTGTTATTTTATTACTTTTTCATCACCTCTTAAAAAATTGTACATACAATAGCAGTCACTTCTTATTTTCCCCTTCTCCTAGACCCCGTGACTATACCCCTTCCCCTAGACCCCCTGACTACTAATCTACTTTCTGTCATTATGGATTTGCCTGTTCTGGGCATTTCATGAAAATGACGTCATACAATATATGACCTGGCTTTTTTCATTTTACTTGATACTTTTGGGTTTTACTTATTTTGTAGCACATGGGTGAAGTTAATTTTAATAGCTTTTAAGTTAAACTAGTATATCCAAACTATTATCATTTCAACATGTCTTCCATATAAAATTTATTAATGAGATATTTTATATTCTTTATTTTGTAATCTTTGAACTCTGGCATCAATTTTTTATTTATAATATGTCTTAATTTAGTATAATCACATTTAAGGTGTTCAGTGGCTACATGTAGCTGGTAGTTACTGTATTGGACAGAATAAGTGTTAAACAGGACTCTTTTCACATTTTAATGAAGCTTATATTTTAAATGATCAGAAAGGAAATATGGACTTTTTAAAGAAATATGTTGGGGGGCGGCCTGTGGATCAAAGGAGTAGGGTGCCGCCCCCATATGCTGGAGGTGGTGGGTTCAAACTCGGCCCCAGCCAAAAAATGCAAAAAAAAAATAAAGAAACATGCTGGGATTTAAAATGAGTTCTACCACCTAGGCTACCACATTCTTTCTAATTTCCTTAAACTCTGATTAAGAGTGGGAGATGGGGGTGGGGTGCGAGGGTGTCGGGTGGGGAGATGGGAGGGGCAGGTGCTTGTGGCTCAAAGGTGTAGGGCTCTGGCTCCATGTGCCAGAGGTGGCGGGTTCAAACCCAGTCCCGGCAAAAAACTGCAAAAAAAAAAAAGAGTGGGAGATCGGTTTTCACTGGAGAAAGCTTGAGTCTGCTTCTGTCATTTTCTGAACTTGGTTGCTGGTCTATGAGGTGCTATTTAGGTAGTAATTCCTATGGTATGCACACAAGTCTAAGCTCTGTAGTCTTGTACAAAGTGTTGTAGATCCCAATTGCAAATAGATGGCCTTGTAAGAATGTACATGTAACTTATAATTAATTTAGCTTAATTATTCTATAATTAAAGAAGATAGGAACAACAGTTAAAATATGTTGGATGACAGAATCAGAAAGAAAAAACAGTTTGACAGGCTATATTCTGTGGAACAATAGGAAGAATGGGCCCAAATGGAATATGATAAAACTCTGTTCATTTATTTAATGGCAACTATTGTGTGTTCTGCTGTGGATTTGGTGCTTAGGCATTGGGTTTCCGCAGTGGGAACAAAGATAAATGAGACCTGTCCTAGTATTTGAGAGTCTTGTAGGTTAGTAGTACATGACAGATACATAAATTAGCTAAATGCATACCATGTTAGAACTCTGATGGATACATATGAGGAGGGAGCACTAAACTCTTATCTAGAGGAAGATGGAATGAGAACAGGATTATTCTAAATCTTTTTTTTTTTGGAGACAGAGTCTCAAGCTGTCCCCCTGGGTAGAGTGCTGTGGCATCATAGCTCACAGCAACCTCCAACTCCTGGGCTCAAGCGAGTCTCCTGTCTCAGCCTCCCAAGTAGCTGGGACCACAGGCGCCCACCACGACTATTTTTTGGTTGCAGCTGTCATTGTTGTTTGGCGGGCCCTGGCTGGATTCGAACCCTCCAGCTCAGGTGTATGTGGCTGGCGCCTTAGCCACTTGAGCCACAGGCGCCGAGTTGATTATTCTAAATCTTAACTAGAAGTTTACCTGGGTTGGGACAGGAGAATGCAGAGTAGGTGCAAAAGAGGACCATTCTAAGTAGAAGAAACTGTTTAAGCAAAGGTATAGAAGCATAAAATCAGGGGCTTTGGGGTCTGTGAGCAATTCAGTATGTTGGAATGTAAGGAAGAGGTGGGAGTGCGGAGTGGAATGGGTGGGGAGGGAGGAAATCAGGGTAGTGGTATTGACAAATGATAAGAACAGCATGGTAGGGGAGGGTCAGATAGGATAGTGTGGAGGATAGATTTAAGGAAGATTACTGAAGAAATTCCTGCTAACAGTCCAGGCCAGAGATGATCATGGCCCAAACTAAAGCAGTGGCAGTGTGATGGAGAGGCAGAGATGGAGATGGGTGGTGTTGAAGAGATTAAAGCCACATGTAAAGCCCTTTAGTAAATGTTGGGGAAAAAAAGAAAGAAAAAAATTTAAAGGACAGTAGGTTTAAATTTTATTAGTAGTAAGATTTGATCTTCCCAATAGCAAGTGTGCTTATGGAATCCACTGACAGAAGTAGAGTCTCCAGAAGGAAGAAGGCCAGAGCTCCATGCTATGTGCTGGTCAGACTGCATCTGGGTTTGGTGTTCTACCCTGGATTTGGTGCTCAGTCCCTGGGCATAAAGATAAATAAGACTCAGGCCTTGCCCTTGCGGGTCCTAAAGCTTAGAAAGACTCCATGGACCTGTAAATAAATGTAGTAAAGCCTCACAGGCGTGGTGATTGATGCATATACAGTTCCTTTAAAAGAGAGAGATGGAACAATCAGAGCATCTGTAAAGAATTGAAACCAGAAGGGGCAGAGGATTTAAAGCCCTGTGGTAGCTGATGAAACTGGGGATATTTGAAGGGGATATTTAAAGACAAGATCTGCATTAGTTACCTATTGTGTAACAAATCAGCCTCAAACTTAGCAAAAAGCAAACATTTATTATCTCAATTTCGGGGGGGGGGCAGGAATCTAGGTACAGCTGGTCTCGTGAGGTTGCAATCAAAATGTCAGCTGGTCTGCAAGCAGCCTCTGAGGGCTCTGCAGGTCTGGTGGAGGCATTTCCAAGTTCTTTTGAGGCAGGAGGCTTCAGTCCCTGGCCACATGGGCCTCCCTGTAGGACTGTTCAGACATGGCATCTGGCTTCCCTCAAGAGTGATCTGAGAGAGTAAGAGATGCCAGGTAGGAGGCCTCAGCACCTGTTATCACCTTGTCTCTGAGTCACTCATTGCTCTCTTATTCTTTTCATTAGAAGCATGTCACTAAGTCCAGCCCACACAAGGGGAGGGGAATTAAATTCCACATCTTGAAGGAACAGTATCATAGAATTTGAGGGCCTATTTTTATAATCACCACAAAATGTCTTAGAGAGGACATGACAACTGTCTTCAAATATTTGGAAAATGTTGTCAGAAGCTACAGTCAGATAGGCTTGGCTCCAACTAAAGAGATAAATGGAAGTGTGCAAAGTTGGAACCGGTACCTGGGGGTGTGGTGAGCCTGTGTCACTAAAGGTAGGTTTTTGGCAGGGATTGGATGACCACTTGGTGGGGTGTTGTGGAGGGGTTTCTAGCACTGGTTAGGGGTGGACTGGATTAGGGTGGGAAAATTAGCACCTTTGGTAAAGAAAGTCTTATTGGTATACAGCCATGCTCATTCATTTATGTATAGTCTAGAGCTGCTTTTATGTACAGAGACAGAGCTGAGGACTCTGACTGAAACTGTATGGCCTGTAAAGTCTGAAATATTTATTATCTGGCCCTTTACAGAAAACATTTACTAACCCTTGGACTGGATGATCTCGAAAGTCCTTCCCAACCTTGAGAGGCATTGTGATATGGCATTTATTTATTTATAAAACAGGCTGAGGATAAATGATCCTCCCACCTCAGCCTCCTGAGTAGCTGGTACTGCAGGTGTGTGCTACCATGGTTGATATATATATTTTTTTCTTCATAGAGATGAAGTCTTGCTTGTTGCCCAGGCTGGTCTCCAACTCCTAGCCTCTTGCCTTATCTCCCAAAGTGCTGAGATTATAGATCTGAGCCACTGTGCCAAGCATTTTTAAAAGATTTTTTTTTCTTTCTGGGTAAAAATGTTTGGGCATAAATTACATACAATTTTGTGGGTGGATGGTTCCAAGATTTAAGTCCCTTTCTTTATTTTGACAGCTCCTGAGAGAGAAGGTTGTTTGTATTGCTGCTGGACTGAGGCATGCGTTAGCTGCTACAGGTGATTACTTTACCTTTATTTATTTATTTATTTATTTATTTTTGAGACAGAGCCTCAAGCTGTCCCCCTGGGTAGAGTGCTATGGCATCACCGCTCATAGCAACCTCCAACTCCTGGGCTCAAGCGAGTCTCTTGCCTCAGCCTCCCAAGTAGCTGGGACCACAGGCGCCCACCACAACTATTGTTTGGTTGCAGCCGTCATTGTTGTTTGGCAGGCCCGGGCTGGATTCAAACCCGCCACCTTAGGTGTATGTGGCTGGCGCCTTAGCCACTTGAGCCACAGGTGCTGAGCCACCTTTATTTTTTAAATAGGCATGTAATAAGGAGGATCTGAGCTTTAGGAGAAAAACCCTTTAAGGTGATATTTCAAAGGACCCTCCTCTGTTGTAGTTCTGATTAAAAGGGGGGAACAAAGAAGTGATGTGGGGGAAGTCTGTAGCAGATAGGGAGGAAGGAAGTGAAGTTTCCTAGCTCTTTGTGTTCTTGGTTCTCTTGATTTGATTACCTTGTTTAATCCTCACATTAAGGAAGTGATGTGAGTTAAATTTTTACATATGAAGAAATTGAGACCTAGGGAAATTAAAGTGCTTGTGTGAGGTTACATAGGGAGTAAGGTAGTAAGAGAGAGAGGTTGGATGACAGTCTGGGATGGCTTGGGGTCCAAGTCCATATTCTTTTCAGTGAACAGAATTGCCTTTGTAGTAGATAGTAATGTTTATTAATTCCAAAGCTTCAAATAAGCTTGTCTCCTATACTGTGTGTGGGTGAAGGGATGGACAATATGTGTGTGAGGGGAAGTGAGGAGGTGGCATATGGGAGGGCAATGACCTTTTTATCTCCCCTCTTTTCTGCTCACACTGCTTTTGGGTGGAAGGGCAGCTGAGGCTCCAGTACTTGGTAAGGCCAGTTGTGGAGTGGAGAAAGAGAAGAGATGAGGAAAAGTTCAAAGTAGCGCTGTGCATCCTGGGGCTTAGTATTGATTATACTTTCTTTAAAAAATTAGACGTTAAGATTCACATACAGTTATAAAATATGAAATAGACTCTGTGTGTTTTTTCCTAGCTTCCTCCAATGGTATCTTGCAAAACCATAGTACAATAGCATAACCCGGAAATCAGCATCAATACAGTTAAGACCTGGGAAAGTTCATTACCACAGGCCCTCAGGTTGCCCTGTCACAGCCAGACCCACTTCCTACCTGCCTCCACCCTCTGCTTAGCCCTTGGCTCCCCTCTTCTGTTTTCCATCTTTTATGATGTTGTCATTTCAGAAATGTTATATAAACAGTATCATACGGTGTGTAACCTTTTGGGATTGGCTTTTTTTTTTCATGCACCATCATTCCCTAGAGATTCAGCTACATTTTGTGTATCAGTAATGTGTTCCTTTTTATTGTTTGTTTTCCATGGCTTGGATGGACCCTGTATTAGTTGGCCAGGGCTTCCGTGACAAAGTACTGCAGACCAGGAGCCTTAAACAACAGAAATTTACTTTCTCATCATTGTGAGTGCTGAAAGGCTAAGATCATTGGGCTATCAGGATCAGTTTCTGGGGGGCCCTTCTTCTGGACTTGTAGATGACCACCTTCTTGCTGTGTTTGTACATGGCTTTTTCTCTGTGCACCTGTGGAGGAGGAGAGAGACCTCTGGTGTCTCTTCCTCTTCTTACAGGGATACCAGTCCTACTAGATCAGTGGGTCTCAACCTTCCCAATGCTGCGGCCCTCCCACAGGTTGAGAACCGCTGTATTAGATGAAGGTCCCATGCATATGTCCCTCCTCTACTGTCTCCTTAGGGCTCATATCTCCGAATCTACTCACTTTGGGGATTAGGGATTCAACATAGGAATTTTGAGGGGACATATTTCATTCTGTGCCAATCATAGTTTGTTTAACTAGTCATGCATTGAAGGCCATTTAGTTTGTTTCTGGTTTTTGGCTATTAAGAATATAGCTACTATAAACATTTGTGGATGGGTTTTAATATGAGCATAAATTTTCATTTCTCTGGGATGAATGCCCAGGAGTATAGTTGCTGAGTTGTGTGATAGTGATTACAGTTTTATAAGCAGGTTCTTCTAGGAACCAGCTGGGCAGGAGAAGTGCTTATCATTGGCTTTCTTCCTCCTTTCCCAGCAACATTTTATAATTGTCAGTCTTTTGTTTTGAACAGCTTTATTTATTTATTTATTTTTTGATGTCACTAGACACTTAAACTTTTATTGACGCTTAAATTGTGGTACAGAAATACATTTCAGCTGATTTAAGTTCAACACCAATGAAGGGAGAAATTATGGCACCAAAACGTTCCCTCCTCTATCCTACTAAGATTAATTTAGATTACTGTTCAATCTAGTTTTCTCTTTTCTAGGCTTTGTTCCACACACATGTGCAGGTTTTCAATTAGAATTCCTAAATCTGTTAGGAAAAAAAAAAATCAGACCTCAAGCCAATAATCAGATCTACTGGGATACTGTTCAAGAACAAAATCACTTTGAGCATTGGTTCTCAAAATAGAAAATGTGCAGGTTTTCATTTAGAATTCCTAAATCTGTTAGGAAATAAAAAATCAGACCTTAAGCCAACAATCAGATCTACTGGGATACTGTTCAAGAACAAAATCACTTTGAGCATTGGTCCTCAAAACAGAGCACCCCAAAACATTAGGTGCTATGCTCATTACAGAATCAAACTGATCACATTGATTGAAAACTTCCTCAATGAAACTTTCAATCGACATGCTTAAAATAAGTCAAAAGTGTTCCATACCACTTGATTTCAAACCAAGTTGATTTTATGTTTAGAAACACTAAAAAAAGGTGTTTCATTTCTAAATACAGAAGGAACAAAACATCACTGTATCAATCCAGTAATTATCAACATATAGTGAGAAGAAATATAAAACTTAGTCAACTTTGCTGTTCGCTTAGTTGCTTACATCCCACAGTATTTGCAAATATAGTTAAAAGATGCTGACTCTTGAAAGCCTCTATTTTAGTCATTTCCCACTGAGTATTTTAGAATCTAGCATGTTTTATTATTTATTCACTCATTCATATATTCTGCTTCATGGCGTTTATCTGAATAACCTGGATGATTCTCATTCTAGGCAGTTGCTCATTTGATCCTGTGAATTCCATGGTAACAGAAAACCATACTTAGAGAACACAGGAAGTCAGAACACTCACATGCATCACAAACTCGCAGAACTTGAAGTCACAAGATGAAAAAGACATTGATTTTGCTTTGAACGAAAGTTTACAGTATGTTATTAGTGGAAATGGCTGCTATAGTAAAAGTTAACATCAATGATCCAAGCTGACCTGACTTACTGAATCTAGTATAAACTTTATGCTAAACTTTCTTGATAATCATCTTTGTAATAAAAACCCTTTTATTTACTACTTAGCAAATAAAGGCTAATCTCATTTACTGACGAGAACAGAATTACATATGATTTCTACAGTTCACCCAATACACCCTAATCTCCACCTGTAATTCTTTGTGGGTCTTCCTTGCTGATCAGCAATGGAGAAGTTTATTTTTGTGACTGTCATCCATAGATAGAGTCCATACCAATAAAAAGGAGGCCAAATTCCCATGCCCTTAAAAGATAAGCCCAGGGACTATCTCCCCTTTTCCCTACCTGCAGTGTAAGATTTGTCTATAACCCCCCAGTGTTGACAGTGTATTGCTTTATTTGGAGGGCTTGGGGGAGACACCATGGTGAGGGAAGAAATCAATTATAGGAGTATAAATGCACAGACAAATAATTTTTAAATAGTAGTATGCAAAATAAGTAACTAGAATCATTTTAAGAGGACCCAACTTGTGGAAGAAAGACTTTAATACTGCTATTGCAAAAAACACCTGTATGAACTAGAAATTGTCCCAGTAACATTAGTAAAGAATAAGTTCTAGAAAGTGGAGGTAACTGGATGTAAAATTCTGGCAGCAATTTAAAAGAACAGTCCCAGATGGTTAAGCTGGGGCCAACACCTAATGAGGACGAAAGCCTTGTCTGTGGGGAATTTTGGAGGATACCTGGAGAAATATTACACTATGCATAAACCAGATTGAATTGTTTTCACAAGTGTTGTAAAGTTTCATATAGTAAAAGGTTTTTTCTACATGCACTTCAATTTCACAGCAAGAGTGGCATAGAATACCTAAACACAGAAGAGAGCATTCATGCAAGATATCTAACTCTTTGATATAATAATGCACACAATTCAAAATGATTACACTATCATTATATCTAGGGCTTTCTGCAACTGCAAGGTGATGGTTATGGAAAGCACGGCCCCCAGTATTAACATCTAGGAAGCAGCCACCATCTTCTACATGTGTTCTCTTTTTGCGTTTTTTCTTCATTTTTCTTAATCAACTCTGCTGTTGTTGCTGCTTCTTAGCAAAACTGGTAAAAACAAAATTGTAATCATTAAACATAGCAGTCTGACAATCAAGACGTTTAAAGCCTTCAATCTTCTGGGGTGAGGAAAGCACTGTGCGACACTTAGAACTCTGATTAACAAACAAGGTGGTCACACATTTTCCTGGCTTGAAGATTTCCACAACTTTCCTGATCAGGTCATCATAGGAGGTCTGACATAAGTTTGTTTCAAAGCTAACATGAGAAAATTCTGGTTCTGGAGTGATGTGAATAGTTCAGTAAATTTCATCCGATTTCATTCCATTCATTGAATACCCACAAGGATTGAACCATGTGGCATCAATGACAGAACCTGGTATCAGGTCACGAATTCCACTCTCATGAGTGACATACTTTCCAGTAACACCATCTTTCATGTAGAACTGGTCCATAACTGCTGGGTCAATCTCACTCATCAGAATTTCCAGGGTTTGATCTGGCTGACTGATTACTCAACTCTCTGGGAAATCCAGAGTATATAAGTACCAACAGTCAGAATTCATACGTCCCATACAATATGCTGCTCCATTTGGGAAGATTGCATTTAGAAATTCTATTTCTTCCTGGAAA